GTTAAGAGAACAAATCAGAAAGTCTGCTGCCAGCTCAGGGGGCCTCCCAGGTCTGAAAACACAGCCTGGACTTTTACCATGACATTGTTGCTTCTGGACAGCTTTCAGTTTGCTTCTAAAATGTGTTTGCTTAAAATCTATTCGTCACACTTTCATTTAGGGTCTACTCTACATTTTTGTCGAAAAATGTTATATTGCATCAGACTTAAAAAAAAAAAAATTCATGTCAGACTGTAAACATACTAAGGACCTCACTCTTAGATCTCAGGAATTCTGTGACCTGGCTCTTTTTACCATCTCATGGGCAGTGCCAAGTTGCTTAACAAAATCTACTTGAACATATGTACAGACACATTTTAATGAAATTAGCATTGATTTAAGTATTTTTCAATTGACACTTTCACTAATTTAGGAATAAGTATCATAGTGACACAGGTTTAAGGTGTATTCCACTGATATCAATTATTTGAAAATCATTTTAAAAATTTGTTCGAAATAGTTATACATGGCAGTAGGATGCATGTTGACACATCATACATAAATGGAGTATAACTTCTCATTCTTCTGGTTGTACAATACATAGAATTACAGTGGTCATGTAATCATGACCTATATAGGCATATAGGGTCATAATGTCCAATTCATTCTATTATTCCCATACCCCCTCCCTTTACTCTCTTCTGTCTAATCCAAAGTAACTTTATTCTTCCCTAGCACCCACCCACCCCCCTTATTGTGAATAAACATCCCGATATCAAAGAAAACATTGGCCTTTGGTTCTTTGGGATTGCCTTATTTTGCTTAGCATGATATTCTCTAGCTTTATCCATTTACTAGCAAATGCCATAATTTCATTCTTCTTGAAGGCTGAGTAATATCCCATTGTGTATATATACCACATTTTCTTTATCCATTCATTTGTTGAAGGGTACCTAGGTAGGTTCCATAATTTAGCTATTGTGAATTGAGCTGATATAAACATTGATGTGGCTGCATCTCTGTAAGTATTCTGATTTTCTTCATAATATTTACTCTATCAGCAAACTGTTCTACTGCTTTTTACATTACTTTAAAGGATACTTTTTATTAAAAAATAAATTTTTATTTAACCTAAACCTAAGCAGAAGTTATGATCCCAAACTTAGGTCTAATGTGTTGCGATATGTGTGTGTGTGTGTGTGTGTGTGTGTGTGTGTGTGTATTTGTGTGCATGGGTACAGGCTGAGTATCCTTTATCTGAAATGCTTGGAATTTGGGTTTTTTTTTTCAGATTTTGGAATATTTGCATATACATAATGAAATCTCATGGAGAGTGGTCCTAAGTCTAAACATGATATTTACTCATGTTTCATATACACCGATATGCATAACCCAAAGACAATTTTATATAATATTTCTAGTGTATCTGTGTTCTGATTGAAACTGTTTATATGAGGTCAGGTGTGGAATTTTCCACATATGGCATCATGTTAGTGCTCAAGCAAGTTCAGATTTTGGATCATTTCAGATTTCAGATTTTTAGATTAGGGATGCTTAACTTGTATGTGTGTTTGTACAAAGTCATGGATCATATAACATATAATTCAACAACAGGCCCAATATGATAGTATCCCCATAGGAATATAATTCAGCTGAAAAGTTTCTCTCTCCTCTAAATGCTGAAGTTGTCAAAATGTCATAATGTAACAAAATACTATGTGTTTATGGTGAGGCTCATGTAAATACCTATTTAACTATGTTCAGATACATTGATATTTACCATTGTTTTACCTTGTCTATAATGTTTACTATAGTAGCAGGCTTTATAGGTTTGAAGCCTAGAAGCAGTAAGCCATGCTGTAAAGCCTACCTGTGTGGTAGATTGTACCTCTTAGGTTTATGTAAGTAGTATACTCTTTGAAGTTTGAGTAAGAACAAAATCATTGCATAATGCATTTCTCAGAATGTGTCCCCATTAATATGTGACCCATGACTACACACAAGTTGTAATTTTACAAACACATATTATGATAAAATGAAACTATCACAACAGAAAGCACATTCTTTTAGCTGAAACCTTGTAAAATCATCCTGTATATGCAAAGAATATTATTTCATTTGGAAAACTCCAGTCTGTGTGATAATGTCTTTTGTTATATGTTTCGAAAAGATACTACCTTGAAACTTATACTCTTTGTCTTCTAGCCTGTGTTTGTGTGTGTGTGTGTGTGTGTGTGTAAAATCAGGGTAATGATTTTTTAAATTGGTGTATTATAATTATTCATAGTAGTGGGAACCTGCCAAGCACTGCTAATAAACACCATTTGGTGGCTTGTGGATATTTCTTATTGTATCAAGTTAGTCACTAAAATGGTTTCTTCATGATTAATAAATTCTATGAATTGGTTTCCCATCTCCTCCTAACAGCAGGAACATAGGGTTTAGAGTTGAACCCAGTTTGAATCTTGTCATTAACCCCTGCTATCTTTATGACCTACAGTTACCCAAGCTCCCAACCTCTGTTTCCTCACCTGCAAATCAGAAAACAATAATGAAGTGCTTAGAACAGAGGCTAGCATAAAACTATCTTAAATTAATGCTATCTATTAGAATCAAGTTAGAAGTCGTCTCCAGGAATTCATTAGAAATAGTGGGGGGTGAAATGGGTGGGGAGTTTTTCTTTCATAAAAATAAGGGCAACATAGAATCAAATATATGTGGATATGTTTGAAGTGAACATGAGGTAATACCTCATGCTTCCCTGGATTTGTATCTGGTATATATATACTTAAACAGGGAACTATATTTTTATAGGTGTTAGCTAGTTTCATGCATGGAATTTACCTGGGATACCATGTATTCTCATGCTTCTGAACCTGACTTACAATGTATGCTGAAATTTGCATCCATTTGCCCCCTCTAGACTTTGACAATAGACAGGCCAAAAGCATCAAAGAGCCTAAATCTCTGCCTTTCACTCTGTCTCCAAGTCCTGTACACCAGACCATAGATCTTGAAGAGACTGGCTTTCAAGTGGCTCCAGCTCTAAAATGAACCCTCTAAACTTTCCAGACTTGTGTTTTGTTAGCATAAAATTTGAAATAAACAGGTTTGTATCATGTGTTCGGTCTTTTTTTCTTAGGGCCTTCGTATTTGTGCTTTTCACCAACATTTTTATTATTAGTAGTATAAACTTCCAGTGAAGGTACACGCTGAACTTGGTTCTCAGTGTCTCCTTGATCTTTAGAAATTATTAATCAAATCAAGGCACTTCCCTGCATAAAAACATTTATAGGCTTTTCGTGACATTGGGCAAAAGCACATTCTCTCCATGGCCTTGAAAGTCTTGCAAACCATTTTGGACTTGGTCTCCTTGGAGGGCACTGTCCTGATTCTCTCTTCTCTACCCAAACAAGCCCTTTTTGTGTTTTTACAAGCTCTTCCCCTCAGGATCTTCACAAATGCTGGTCCCTGGTCTGTGGTGCTTTTATGTCCAAGTGACTTCTTTCTACTTACGCACTACATTCCTCTTATGCCTTCTCCAATCAGCCCATATATCTGATCTCGTTCTGTTCTCCACAATCTCCACCCTCATTTTCTATGTCTTAGCAACTACTTTGTTTCCTTAGTAATACTTGTAGTTTAGTCTCTTAATTGTAGTCTTCTCTGCTTAATTATGAGGTTTCTGATGTCAGGGGCCACATGCCTGTGATGTTACTAGCGCTTACCAGAATATGTGCGTGGCACGCGGTAGTCATTCAACTACTACTTATTAAACAGATCCATGAACTTGGGAGGGAAACAGTGATAAATGTGCATCATATTTGACATCTTTGGTGTAGGGAAACTGAAAGACAAAAGAAAAGAGATGAGTTGAATCTAGATGTAAAGGCCTTAACAGTATTCTGTAGAGTGTTCTGTGAAGTGTTTGTGAGTTGGCAACTAATGACATTTGTCTTATGATTTAAAAAAGATTGATCTGACAAAGATATCAAAGATCTCATTGTAGCAGAAACAGAGCCTCAGGAAGACCAAACAGTGTTAGGTGAAGAGGAGTGGTACTTTGGGAAGGGCCTTGGAGAAGGAGAATTGAACCCCCGAGTCTGCTATAGCAGGGAGAGAGGAGAAGACAAGCATTTTCCTTTAGGGTTCTCATTCATTCAAAATGTGTGTTTTGAGAAGGTCATTAGAGAAAACAGAATAAAACAAGATTTTCCATCTCAGCTCTCCATCCTGAGGGGGTTCTGTTCAAAGACACATCTGGATATAGGAGATCATTTCCATGCTTTTGTTTTATGAAGGGTCTTCTGGTTATGTCTGGGATAAGAAAGTTAAAAAGTTGCTTTATTAGTGTGTTTTCAGATCCTCTAATATTTGCCAGCACAGGTCCCCAGTAATTGACATGTCTATATTTCTGGAATCTTCTTTTAATGGAGCATTGTGGAGGAAGAGGGCCAAACTTTATTTCTTTGGAAAAGACATCAGTGGTGGAACATAGGATTTTGAGTTAAAACTCATAGCCTTAAATTTTAGCTCAGCCTTGGACAGTCTGGAAGAAATTGGCCCAGTTATTTAATCACTGCTTTCTAATCCAATAAGTGAAAATGAATTAGATCTTAACTTACAATAAATCTGTTAAATTTTAAGCTGTTTTACAAATATTAGAATTACCCAGATTCACAGAACCTCTGCATCTTCATCTTGCCCAACATGCCACTTATGAATATTTTGACTTTTATTTTATCCAGAAATGAATGGAAGGAGATTAACTGATTAAAGGGGTGGAGGAGGACAAAAAAAAAGGAGAAAGCTTTTCACTAGGTAATGGTGAACCAATGGTGCAGTGTGTGTGCTGTATACTTTACATGTAAAACCATTGGAGAATTGTTAGTACCAGACACCAAATATTGTAATTTGGATTTTTCTTGATAGGTTTGTGGGAGTATGGTGTGTGTGAAAGGAAGGAAATTCTATGTCATATCGTTAGTGTTATTGACAACAATATGATCACTACTTGGCAGGAGTTCCTAACCTCTCTTGGGTGAAGGAGATTTTGGAGTTTGATGAGAGGAATGGACTCCAGAAAAATTCCCAGGTACATCTTCACCCCCATCTTGCTCACAACTCTGAGGGCTCACAGGCTACCTGAAGTGTCTAGAGTGAGAGAAATCCATGGACCCCAGGTAAGAGGCCTGGTCATAAATCAGCAACTAAATCTTCTGTTTAGATTTTAAATTGGATTGTTCTTTTGTGTCATAAACAGTCATGGAGGATCTGGCAGTGTGCTAGGAACACTTTCAAACCTTAACCCTCTAGTCCTCATAGCAGTCCTCCTGGGTAAGGCCCCTTGCTGTTGTGCTTATGTAACTTTGTTGAATTGCTCATGAATGAACCTTGGGAGCCTGTGAACAATTCTAAGAGAAGATCATTGACCACCTGATGTCATTCAGCACACAGTAAACATTATCTGTTAGTGAAGGTGCCAGCAGATCAGCATGCCCCCAGAGAAGTCCACACAGCAGGGAGGAGAAAAACACTCCCAGAGGATCCTCATATCATGGAGTGCCTTCCAATATGTGAGACCACTATTGAACCTAAGTAATGTATTAGTATGAATTTTAAAAATACAAAGCATTTCAGTATTTAAATATTTAAATTGGAAAAATAATTAAATATGCCTAGGTTTTACTTAGAGGAGACAAATTTTCCCTCAATTTAATTTTCTTGGTTATTAAAATGTCTATTATTGACCTAGCAAAGGAATGCATATATCTATATCTATTCCCATGTTTCTTACAACAGATGTTTAACTTTAATAATACCTGTAATCCATTCCCAGGAAGGAAGTTGCTTTAGAACACCAAGAAATAGTCTTTAAATTAACTGAGTGCAAAAGTAATTGAGATTCTAAAACTGAGTGATCTGTGTGTAGGATTATTGATGATATTTGAAGCAAATTTATAGAAGTACATATAATTGAAATTGCAGGTTTATTTGGGTAAAATAAAAATATCTATCAGTAAGTCTTTTGAAAGGCAATGAAAGGCACTGTAGACATAAAATATTTCCATTACAGTTATAACCATTAACAGCTACCCTAGTACACTAATGGTTTCCTTAAAGTTGCTTTATTGGTATTAACTCTTTGGTTTTGATTGTAATTGGGGACATTATAAACTGCTGATTTGTTTTAACTCTGTGAACATAAAGAAAACTAAACAAGAATTTCAAAACAAAATACTTCTTAAAAGAAGTGAATTTTCCATGCCTCAAAGTTACTTTCATATTTATTTCTAAATATACCCTTTCATATAAATTGACATACTAGAATGGAAGTTTCATCATATCAGAGTAAACCAGAAATGTACTAGATCTCATAAGGCAAGATAACTCTGTATTTGTGGGTAATGGCCATGAGTTTAAACTACATTAAATTTGAATTTCAGCAAATTGTACCACAAGAAATGACATTATCTTGTCTAAAGTCAGGAAACCCAGTAATTCTGAAATTGGTTCTTTGGAATAGGTTTACATGGTTACTTAATGTGATTTGATGCTTATCTAGCTGGTGTTCTGAAGACCAAACTTGCTTTTTCTGAAAAGAGAAAACAGACTTCAAATAATCACATGGTTGTTTTTTATTTTATTTTTTTTTTAACTGCACCTTACATTTTGCTGGATTTCCTATCTTTTGGTGGACACAGACATTTTGAATGATGACATGTTCAGATAAAATGATAGTTTCTCTGAAAGAATGATTATACCTCCTAGGGAAAAATTCAACTTGGAAAAAGAAAAAGGAATAGTCAGCAATATGGAGTGAAGAACGTGTCTTCTAAAGGGATATATCTGTCAGTTAAATAAATAAATAAAAAGGAAAGGAAGAAAAAGAAATCCCATTATTTATAAACTGATTTTTTAAAAATTAGATTAGGAGAAGCAGTAGTATGTAACCGTAGCAAGCTATCAAGATTGTGAAGAGAGAAATGCTTGTCACCATACTTCACATAGAGCATTAATATCCTGGATATACAAAAACCCAAAAAAACTCAACACCAAAAAACCAAATAACCCAATGAATAAATTCTCAAAGGAGCTAAACTTCTCAAAAGCAATAATGTTAACAAATACATGAAAAGAATGTTCAACATCTCTAATCTCTAGCAAATTAAAAAACTAAACTGAGATTTCACTTCACTCCAGCCAGAATGGCAATTATCAATAATACAAGTAACAATAAATGTTGGCAAGGATGTGGGGGAAAGGGTACATATCTACATTGGTGGTGGGAATGCAAATTGGTGCAACTACTCTGGCAAACATGAGATTCCTCAAAAAACTAGGAATGGAACCACCAATTGACCCAGTCATTCCAATCATCGGTATTATCCAAAGGAATTAACACAATTGTCACACAATAGTGACACAGTCACATCAATGTGTATAGTAGCACAACTCACAATAGCTAAGCTATGGAGCCAGTCTAGGTACTCTTCAATGGATGAATGTATAAAGAAATTCTGGTGTATACACACAGTGGAGTATTATTCAGTCATAAAAAGAATGACTTTATGACATGTGTCAGTAAATGGACAGATCTGGAGATTATAATGCTAAGTGAAATAAACCAATCCCCCAAAACCAAAGGTCAAATGTTTTCTCTGATACGTGAAAGCTAACCTGCAATGAGTTGGTGACAGCGGAGAATAAAAGTTCAGAGGGTTAGACAAAAGGGAATAAGGGAAGGGAGGAACATGGGAAAAAGAAAGACAGTAGAATGAATGAATCTGACATAACTTTCTCATGTACATATATAAATACACCACAGTGAATCTCAATATTGTGTACATTGAGAAGAAATTGATTAAAAAAAAAAACTATGGGTAAATGGCAGAAGGGTCAACAAAGGGAAGAGAATAGGGGAATGGGAGAGGGAAAGGGAAGGAGGGATCCTGGATTCTGAATCAGAATAAGATATTCCATACTTGTATAGTCATGCTAAAATGAACTTTACTGTCATGTGTAACTAAAACAACAACAACAAAAACAATAAGGAGCTTATTTGCAAATAATAACAATAGTAGTAATAATAATAATAATCAAAAGAAACATTATCAGCTATCTTCCTTTTTTTTTTTTTTTCCTGAGCTTCCTTGTTTACAGGTGGTGGGAGGATAAAGTCTTGGCAACTAGAACCCAGTAAGAGAAAAACTCTCAGATAGTAGAGCATATTGATAAAACTAAAATTGCTGATTAAACAATATTTTAGGAAAACTATACTTTATGATTCAAAAATTGTTTTATAAGGACTTAAAAATAAAGCAAAAGTTTTCCTTACCTTGGAAAATAAATTCAGTCTAGTCAAGCATTTCTTTGATAATAGAAGTGTCTGAAAGTATCTCAACATAATTTAAACTTAATGTTCAAGGTCGGATCAAAAACAGTAATGTTTTTCAAATAGGAAAAGTCTGGTGTATTCTTCAGGGTTGTAAGTTCTATCACAATTTATCTGCTTATTTTTTTATTTTATTGAATTACAAAAATGTGTATGCTTCATATATCAAGTACTCTGAAGATATAGGGTCTTTCTTTGTGTTAGTATTGCATCAATGCTGGGAGATCACTCTAGGAACTTATCATTTAACTCCTAATATCCTTGGCCCAACCTAATGTCAAAACATTTGTCCCAAGGCAGCCATTGAGGTGAATTCCTTTGCCAGTTATCCTGAGAAAACTTTCCCTTTGCAATGATGACTAACAATGGATGACCTTTTAATTGGCTAAGATTTTAATTATTGAGTTATTTTAGAAGTTGTGACTTTGATTTAATGCTATAAAAATGAAATTGGTATCTAATTTACTGTAAAAGGGGCAGTGAAGAAGATAGCAGGAATTGATTTCCTACATAAACAAAGTATGTGATTATGCTATGCGAAGGCCAAACAATATCATGGAGATACAATGTCAGAAAGAAATGATGGAGTTTGGGGTGTTTCCTTAGCACATGGAAGTATAGACATGTCAGACTGAAGAAAGCCTGAGGGGAAGTGGCTGGTCTCTTATAGTAGACAGGCTGTGAGCCAATGTCAGGCACAGCCCTTGACTTTGTATGATGATAATTTTACAAGCAACTTGTAAAATCACAGTAGCAATAAATATAAGATAATGATTTGTTTTAATTCAATAATATTCTTTCATTTTTATATTATTATATTTTGGGATCAACTATGGGATTTTATTAAAACGTGACCAAGTTTATTATCAAAACTTTTTCCTTTTGAAAGTAACTGTATAGTAGTGGAGTTTTAAAAAACCCTGACATATGGGTATTCAATTTAATTTACACTCACTCTCAGACAAACTGTAAAAGTTGCTTGAAATACACAAAAAGTATAAATTAGTATATTCCTTTTTGCCTTTTCTTCTTCCTTCCCTTCATCTTTCTTGCTCTGTTTTTCTTTCCTGTTTTCCCTCTTCATCCTCCACTGCCTCCTCTTTTCTTCACTGCCTCCTTTCTCCTGAGAGTTGAAAACAGCAAGATAATACTCAGTTTTTAAATTTGAATAACCAACATGTTATTTAGTATAGTAAGAGAATTTCTAATTAATGGAAGACACATTTTATTTTCTCTTGGGCATTCTAATTTAAAGCGTCAAGAATACATTGGGTTTCAGGATATTTGGGTTACATTTTTCCCCCATTGGTATATTCGTATCCTACTCATGTGAATCCAGAGAAACTTTGTGTGCAGTTAAGAGTTCATTGCTCTTGAAAGATCCTGGTGTTGCTGGAAACAACTCTAATAAAAATTCAACCTTCTAGAAACTTAAATGCATTTCAATAAATAATATTTGAGAATACATAACATATGAGATATTATATTAAAGCACTGAGACAAAAAAACATAAACTAACTGAACTTTATTTCTGCTATCAAGGAACTTGGAATCTGATGTGGGACACCAACACAAAAAGAAGCAGGAGGTAAAAATATTTTTCATATAAAAATTTAAATATATATTTCTATGCTTTATGTTATATTACTTGTGTTTTATGGTATTATGTTTTTTAAAAAGTTTTCCTGGCATTTCTTGAGTTCTGAGCTTATCAGAAAGATAAATCTATTTTACTAGTTCCATAGTGTGAAAAAAGAGGCTTCAGTCATTATTACCTATGATATAGTTGTAAAATGAAAGCATCCTCAGTCTCAAGAGTAATGGATAATAATGAACATAAAATAAAATAAGTAGGATAAGTGAAATTTGAAGCTGTGTGGAAAGAGGGCCAGATCCAGCACAGACAAGTGATTGAGTGTTGAATGACAAACAGCCTGGGGTAGATTCAGCACTGGCAGCGGGGTGGGACGCTGAGTTTAGGTGAAAGCATTAAAGGAGCAGACAGTCATGGCTGTTATGAGTCATTAAGGAGATTTCTCTGAAAATTCTTTTAGCTCTACATTTAAAATAAATATATGAGTCCAAATAACATGGGTTTTAAAAATAAGAGGTACAAAAACTATAAACTAAAGCTTAAAATAACATTGCCCAGAATTATTTTATTTTGATTTAAGAAAAAAGAGGCTCTGTATTCATGGAAAGAGGAATATTTAATTCATATTTTCAAGTATAAGATGTACAATGTAGGAAAACAGCTATTTCAGGGACAGAAAAAAAATAGAACAAAAAAAAAACGATCTTCCTGCTCTTTCTACTTATGAAATTAGAAATGGACAGGGTTAAAAACATTGGTGGGGCTGGTGGCAGAATGATAGTGATGAGCCCATCACGTCCTCCTTAGATTCAAGTTCATAACGTGTGTCTTGACAGATGCCAGGGTCCTGGGATAAAACAATGACTGTGTTTGAAAAAAATCTCAGGTTTGTAAAGCTAACAAACAGACTTGTCTACTGAGTGACTTCAACAAGCCTTTAACCTCAACATACAGTTTTACAAAATTCTAAGATAGTATTAAGCAAATGAAAATCCTAATTGGTGATCTTTATTTTAAAATAAAATGCATCTCCTGTGGGTCTAATATGGGGTTAGACACTTGGTACATGTTGTCTCATTTTATCCTGATCTCCATGGTGTATTATCAGTCCTACCTTGTCTCCACCACCCCTAGCTCATAGATTAGGAGCTCAAGAATCTGTTAACTGCTAAAACTTAGGCCAGAATTAAAATTATTTATACATTTTCAAAAGTTTAAATTTCTGAAAACATGAACTGCAATTGAAAACAAGTTAAATGAGGTACTGACTGCACCACATGCTAGAGTCGTTGCTTAATTAAGGGGACATTCATGTGTGACACTTTAGTGGTGCAATCAAGACGTGACTGACCTCTTTTTGAGAATTTGAGATTTGATGGGAAATCAGACCTTGAACCAGTCCTTTCAAGGCAATCTGGTAATTGACTAAGAGAGACATGAATCTCTTTGCTTTTGTTTCTGATATTTTCTTTTCTTGAAGTAGGGTGGACTGGCGCCCTCAATGCTCACCCTTTTACATTGATCAAAAACTTCACGAGTAAATTCCAGTGTGTGCTCTTAGGAAATATTTTCTGCAACCTGACTTAATTCCTCATTTGCAGCTAGTTGCTTGCTGCACTGTTCCCACAGCACTTTGCTTGTCTTCCATCAGAGTGCTTCTTTTCAAAGTCCCATTTTCAATATGATTTGTGGTGTATCTGCTTACCATCCTCCTAGGATTGAGGGTTTCCTGAGGGAGGACCCTGTTGTAGATGTTCTTATGATCACTATAGACCAAAACATTGCTTTGCTGGAATACAGCAGGGCAGGCCTTCGATACCCATTTTTGTTTGTTTCTTTGTTTGGCTGTTTGTTTTTGAAATAAATGTATATATTTTTTTCTAGTTTTAAAGTCATTTATAAACCAAACTCTAATAGAAAAAAAAAGTGCTTACAAGGAGAAAAGGGTAGAAGCTACTTAAATGACTTTTATTTTATCTTGTTTTTATTCCATTTTTTAAAATTTCCTTTTGTTTTGTCACTAAATTGAAAAATCAGAGGAAATAGGGTATGGACCCTGTAGATCCTGATGTAATCTATAAAACCTTTCTCATGGACCAACAATCCAGGAAATTTTAGCAATTACAGAGAAATGATAGAAAATGGAATACTATAAATAAGGGTCTTAGTCTGTTAGCACCAGGAATTTTGAGATCTTGAGTTACAGAAAATCCCAGGGTTCATCTCATTGAAATCTGGGGAAAATAGGATCAATCAGTAATAATTAGAATGCACATATTGACTTTTGTAAAATATTGTACAGACTTTGTAGACTTTGTAAGATGTTAAAATATTGAAAAAAAACTTTGTCATCTGCTTATGATTTAAAATTAGTTGTTTAATCAAAAAAATAAAAAATAAAAATAGTTGAGGTAGAGAAATGCAGTCATCCATGTGGTTCTAGGACATTTTGGAGTGAATGGAGAGCCTAGTTATTTGTCCATAAACTACCAACTTTATCTGATGCAAAAGAAGACTGAAAACATCAATATATTGACACATATATTTTAGCCTTTAAAAATTGGAGATATAAACAATGAAATATGTCAGGTAAGTACAGCAATAAATACATAAACTATTTTCTTTTAAAGAAAACAGACTGGATAGGTTTGACTCCCTTACAACCATTTTGAATTTACTGAAGGCATATTTTAAATTTAGAGAGAATAATTTAAAGCAGGGATTAGCACTTTTTGTTTCTCTCTGTGAAGAGACGTATAGGAGATACCAACTTTGGAGACTACATAATCTCTAGAGTAACTATTTAGCAGCATACAACCTGCCATACATTATATGTAAATGAACAGGTCTAGTTGTTTCCAATAATACTTCATTTACAAAAGCAGGTGTTAGGCCTGATTTGAAGCATCAATACAGCTGTACATCAAGATTCTCTGTAGGAAATGACTGAAAGCAGGATGGACCCCTTTCCTTGTGTGTGCCTAGGGCAGCAGTCCCCTGCTGAGAGATACTTGCTCCACAGGAAATTTGAGGTTGGAGTTTGAATTTTCTCTTTCCTTTGATGGGGGTGGGGGGCAGTTAGGGAAAGGAATCTTCCCTTCCTGAACCAACTCTGCCCTTCTTTAAGTGGATCAATATCTGTCTTCAGATATTTGATTGTTTTTGTTTCTGATATTTTCTTTAAGTGGATCAATATCTGTCTTCAGCCTAAGCTGATGTGAGCAATGGTTTGTTTTCTTGCTCCCAGGAAGGAACTGCAAATACAAATGACCAGGTATGCTGAATTGGAGATGGGCCTGAAGAGACAGGTGACAGCGGTTATCCATTGGTTTACTTTTTTAGGCCAAACAGAAGACCAACGATGTTTTCTTCAGGTCCCCAGATGAGGTCTTTGTGAAGTTGCACAACTGGCTGAAGCAGATGATTCTGCCAAGTGTCAGGGATTGTAGATGAGCCATCGTCTTTCCCTGGTAGAATTCTTCAAAGAGCTCTCCAGGTGACGCCGCTCTTGGAGAGATATTTAGCATGTTTCCCTATAGAAAAAAACATGCACTGTAAACTGGTCTTGATCACTTCTTCATGCTGTGCTGAAAGACACGCCAGCTTGGCCATTCCCCAAGTGTTGTAAATACACTCATCCCTCTGGGAGGCTTTTGCAGAGAAGAGTATTTCATTTCTCATAGTAGTCATTGGTCTCTTTTCACAATGCTAAAAAGTATGGTCTTTGGAAATTTTTCAGCAAAAATGAGCAGGAGACACCCTAGATGGGCCTGTTTCTTCTTGTCACTTGAATCATCATCTGCTCTTGACAGCTGTGAGAGTCTTTCCCAACCCCCTCTCCTGTGGCTGGTGCATTTCTGTTTAAGGTGAGGTTTTCAGCAACCTGAATCTCCTTGTGATTGCAGAGAAATGCTTTGACTGGGCTACAGGGACCTGGTGGAATAAGTAGGACATTCTTGGTCACCACTTGCCCATTCCTAATTGCACACAACTCAGTGTGTTGTGTTTATTGAAACAACTCTGCCGTTTGTCAAACTGAAGTGAAGTTGATGCTGATTATTTCACCAGGCCCTCCTGCCGAAAACAAAAACTGTGGGCTGATGGCTGAGAAACAAGGGACTAAGTGCATCCGACATGAAGGTAACTAAAGGCCAGTCAAAATAAAAGCTGGAAAGAGCTCTAATTATTTGTATATCCTACTGTATGATTATTTAAATGTGTTCCAGTTAATGAGATCTGTCAGTCATGATGGGTTTAGTGGTTAAACAAAGGGATGACGTATCTACTTCACTGAAACTGAATGTGGTGCAATTATTATAGCACATAATAACAAATTGATGATTTATTAGGGGATTACCAGGCATGAGTATTAAGATATGTCATTTTAACTAATCCTTGCAAGAATTCTCTGAAGTCAGTGTTGACCCCATTTTGTGATGAGAAAAACTGAGGCTCATAGAGGTCAAACAACAAGCCCTTCCTCATTGATGGAGCTGGGTCCAAAATCCACATCAGTTTGGCTCTCAAGTCCATGTGCTTCCCTAGTATTCTAGACTGCAGATGATCTGTAGAAGTACTAGAAGTAGAGCTGTTGATGAGAAGCATGGAGAATCATCAATTTACTGACCTTCTGTAGTGTGACCCATCTAAGACCCGGGTTATTTTGTCTTGGCACTGTAAAGTTTTCACCTTTGCTGAAAATGTTCATAAATATGCAATAATACATGGTTTTTCAGAAAATCCTTGATCAAGCTCTTACCTCTAAGCAATGGATACACTGGGAAGAATTCCCTCCACCACCTCTCTCTTTGCACTTCCCCAGGGACATTTGACCATGCCTGCAGACAATTTTGGTTAATATAGCTGGGTGGGAATTGCTACTGGCATCTAGTAAGTAGAGGATGGGCTGCTGCTAAACATTCTCCAACACACAGAACAGGCCCCTCTCAACAAAGAATTACCTGCCCAAAATCTCATTAGTACCAAGTTTGAGA